TGTTTTTCTACACAGACGCGTTCTGTGTGGATTTTTCCCTATCAGGCCCCTTCACCTGGTCAGTGTGGAGTTAAAGTGTGAGAGCAGGTGTGTTTTGGAAGTTTACATTTTCCTACACCGAAAATGTATTTCCAATAATACTTACCTCCCTCACATTATCCCTCCCTTCCCCCCACAATAGCAGGTGTTTGGGTCTGATAATCTTGACAGTCTTGAAAAAAGTGAATAACAAAGAATAGTGGGTAGCTTATATATGGATTGGGGATAGAGGGTGCATGGATGTAGGGGGAGAGAGTCGCAAGATTAAAATCACTAATGGCAATATAGTGGGATATAAAGACTGGAGCAAGTGAGGTAGAATTCATACCATTGCTTAGATGGGCAAAGAAGAGAACCTTTTGTTTGGGATAAAACTAAAGTGTGAGAGAGGTGAGTGTTATCTGAAATACATTTTTGGTATTGGCAAATGCAAACTTATGAAAATTTGTATGGAAAAGACAACGGAATGCTACTAAACACCTTTTCAGTTTCTGACAAGTCTTGTACTTCACTGTATATATGATACGTTTTACTGTACAGCAACATAGGATTAAAAAGTAACACAAACATTTCACTAATATCAAAAGGGGTATTTTTGCTTATACTTATGATGACTTCCAGAAGTTTATTTACATATTAAGAAATGGTGGTGATTTCACTATTTTTATGTCAACAAAAGCATATTTGTAGATGTATGTCAGACAAGTAAACTTGTAAATTTGACATTGTATCTATGCTTTGCAATAGACCTTGGAAACAGAATGTTTATACACTTTCTTGAATCAAACTTTGAACTGCTTCTCTTTTTTTCAATTTTAACGTATAAACCTTATATTTTGTACTTAAAAAAACAATTTCACTTGAGTTTCCTTTGTTTTTTGATAAATATTCTTTCCACTAAAAAAAAATAAATGTGTTTTTTTTGTGGAAATAATCTAACAACTGCAAAGTAACTTCAACTGAAATTTTTACAAAATCTAAGAGTACAAATGTTTATTGAAAGGACAAGATAAGTTTGAAATGTTTGTTTCATATTGTTTTAGCCTGGCTACCCACTAACACTTTAGCTCCCGAATATTGATGAGAAATGTACATATCTTTATTAAAATTAGAATGCCATTCAGTGACTCAGTGGTAAGACAGAAGACTTATAATGCTAAAAAACAGGTTTCAATCCCTTGATGTGCACAGACAGTATACCTTTATATCATAAAGTATACCTTTATGCTTAACTAAAAACATAAAATTATAATTTTTGTATTTTAATATTAGTGGTGTGCAACATAAAACTTCTTGTAAACACAGTAACTTTACATAGGAAAAGTTTTTCCAGAAACTATACAAATTACATAGTTTATAAAATGATAAAAACCCTATAACCTGAGTGTCTTTGAAAGGTGAATCTTTGTGGTGAAAGGTCCATCTTTCAAAAGTGTTTGGGTTTTTATCACTTAGGTTAAGACTTCTTGAACCTGTATTTTTCTGACACCATGAATAGTTTGTAAAATGATTCTGTAGCTTCTGTTGTTGATAATAATTGTAATTTAAAAATTAATATAAATATGTGAATGTATCATTAACAGAGAAATGGTTTTTAGTGGTACACATTGCAGTTCAGAGGAATTTCATATGATTAAATCTTTTACACAGTTTTCATCTTTATGAAAATAGCTGAAGGTGTTTATGGAAGTAGAATCAAAGTGCTCTATGTACTTTTACTTCCAATTTTTCTCAAATAAGCAGTTATTAGCTTCACCTTGTAAATTCTTATTATCTTCAGTTAACTGTCAGATAATAATTGAAATTAAAAAATACAATATTCAGACAGATCAAAAAGGATAATAAGTAAAAATGTGCCCTGCAATACAGCTGGTATAATTTCATTCCTGCTGTTAAAATCCCAAATGTTTTTCTACATGTAATAAAGTTTGAGCATGATAAAATTGTCTTATTATTCTTACTTCTGCAGGCATTTTAACACCTAATGAATATTAAGGACTTTTTTTTTCTCAGCATATATTTACTTAGAGGTGGAATTATGAGAGCAAATATCCTCTCAATTAACATTATATTAACTAAGAATATTTTGTGTTTGTGAAAGTCCTTATATACAATACAATTGTAAAAGATATGACTACTGTTGAGTTGACAACCTGTTACAAATAGTATTTATTAAAATCAGGAATGTGCAGTCAGGGACAATTTCACATAGATTGCCAACTTGAGGAAGTTTACTCCAGAATCAAGAAAAGTCATGTCTGGTATGCAAAATTTCTGTGTACTTGAATACCTGGTGTGCTTTGTTTTTCGTGGCAATAATATAAAAAATAAAACATTGGTGATATCTAATTGCTATCCTTGAATTTAATCTATGTCACAAGTTGCGTGTAATTTCACATTACAAGTTTTATCTTAATGCAATAACATTATGTAACATAAAAGACTTTTATAACATGTTTTAGTTCTCTGTCAATCTTAACAGATTCTGTGTTCTTTTGACATGTTTGCTGGTAGTACTGAAGTTGCTGTGTATAAATATAGGTATAATGAAGTGCATATGCTTTATTAAACCAAAAATATTTCCCCAAAGTACAATGTCACATAAAAATAATTCGAGTGTTTTATAACTGTGCTTGATTTTTGTTATTTATCTGATTAATAATGCCTTTAGATATAACTAAATTTGTTTTTTCATGGTTGAAAGCTAGGAAGAAATGAATTAAAATATCACTAATAACCTTCTTGAAATTTCAAACACTACCCACTATATTAATTGTGGGTACATGCTGAAAAGACCTAACATTAGGTCTAAGTTTAATTAACTCTTTCGACACGCGCTCGGTCCCTGTGACCGAGTCACGTGACCTTCTGTACTCGTTTAAAGTTGACATAAATTTAATACTTATAACTTTCTATATATTTGGTATATCTTCACGAAATTTGGCTGTCTTTCAGTTAATATTACAAGTCTTTCACATACAAAAAGATATATCTCTTAGTGAAGTACTTTTAATAAAATAAAATAAAGTTTTGTCCATGAATATATTGAGTATTTGCTTTGAATAGTCTGTGTGCAAAGTAATTTTCATGTTAAATTAAAAATACTTTTTGCCATCTCAAAAATTTCAAATTTCCTTTGTGTAATTCCTAAAACCTCTTAAATGCATTTCAAACGTTTTTTTTCACTAGATCCTTATAGTTTATTTTATCTACCCTAATCTCAAAACGGGATCAGTCAATTCGACCAACCAAGTAACCACCCAAAAATATCGAAATAAACCTAAATTAATCTTCTTTTCTTTCGAGTATGACGTCAAATTGTAACATGAAACT